AAAAATGTTTTTCCACTTACAATCTTTTCTGTCTGAAGATGAGCATCATAAAGTCGATAAAGTAAGCTGGTATGATGTGGAAGAGGAAAACACATATTTGGTGAATCAATTTGTTATTCCTGATGTTGCCATTTGGATACCAAACTGCTCCTTCGAATGGATATTTTCTGCCCAAATCTCTTCCTGTTTCCAAAACTTGACCCCAGTTCATCATTTGCTTCTCGTTCATGTTTGTTACATTGAAAACTGGAATGTCTGCGGGTCTAAAGGAAATTAAGGGAATTATTTATTGGTGATTGATGCAATATTATCTTATCAATGATAAAACACATATAAATATTTATGAAATATCTCAAAATTAGCTGCATTTATTACATGCAATATTTTCAAATAAAACTCTAAACTGTTTAGCAAGTGATAAAAGAAAATGACACCGAAGAACATTTTCTAAAGTTTTTTAACAATCGAGAGAATTACAAAAAAAAAACAAATTCGAAACATTTTCCATTTTTTTGCATTTAGGATTTATATTGATGGTTATTAGTCAGATGATTTAGATTAATTGCAAGCATGATTTAAAAAATTATTACATATAGCGTATACAAAAGTACTTCATGAATTAATAGTGATAAATAATTTATATATAATTATACCAATTATTGAAGCATCACAAAAAATTGAATTTTTAAGGGTTTTCAAATTCAGTTAAAAGTTTATTTTAGAAGGTTCAGATTTACAAAATTGTTTCTTGTATAAAATATTTATATGTCAAAAATATATAAAAAATAGCATACAGATAGTATACAAAAACGTATTCAAAAGTAGTCCTTGAATTAATAGTGATAGATAATTTATTTATAATTGAACCATTTATTGGGGCATTACAAATAATTGAGTTTTGTAACAATTTCAGATTAAAATTCATCTGAAAAAGTTTCAAAATTGCTTATTGTATAAAATATTCATATGTCAAAAATATATAAAAAATCTGATATATATGGTCAAAATTCTAATTTTTATTATACCTAAATTTTGAGTTCATTTGAAGGTTTATAAATTCAGCTCGAAATTTCTCTAAAGTTGTACAAATTTTCAAAAGTGTTTATCTAAATATTTAGTCTTTTTTAAGGGTTTAATGTCACATAAAATTTAAATTTTTTAAATTAAAAAATAATCTGTTTTTTGGTGTATATTATTGGATGTCCATAAAACAAGATTTGAGTGTTTTCGAAATTTTACTCACAAGATTTGAGTATTTTCGAAATTTTAATTTGAAAATATTGAGGTTTTTAAGGGTTTTGAATTGTGCTTGAAATGTTTCTTAAAATGTTTACATTTTCAAAATTACTCTTGAATTAAAATATTCAGATAAAAATAAAAAATCAATTTTTTTGTTAAGAGATCTTTTAATAATGATAATAAATGCTTTGAAAATCGCTCTTTGATTTCAATTTAGCTTGATATTCACATTTCCAAAATTAAAATATTACAATTAAACTTATTAATTACAACTATTGAAATATTACTTTTAGAGGTGGACAACTGAATAAAACTCAATTATTTTTTTGGAGGAATATTTAAGCTTTTCCATAAAATTAAAAACTGTCTGGAAGCAGAAAAATTATTGAATTACTAAACAGAAGTTTATGATAGTAGGGTGAAAATAAAGGGCTCTGTGCGTTTTTCTAATTATGCATTAACAAAATAATAAAATTGGTCCAAAAAATTAAAAAAAAACTTAGAGGGTATGGAAGCAGAAAAATGATTGGATTTCTAAAATGGAAGTTTATGGCAGTAAGGTGAAAATGTAGGGTTTTGTGTGTTTTTGTAATTACGCATTGTAAAAAAATTAAATAAAGAGAATTGGTCCAAAAAAATATAAAAAATCCTAAGAGTGGCCAATCTTTACCACTGAGAATATGTAAAATATATGCTAACCGAGGCGTTTTAGAAGAGTATAATCTCAAACATCATGGCACGAATCGATAAATAAATTAAATTAATGTGTAACGCCGATGGTTGCAAATTCCGTAAATAGGAAACTTAATTTTTGAACAAAAGAACGTACATTTTTAAATGGAATACTCATATATAACTAGTTCTATTCCTGGATTCGATAAAGAGGATTTGGCAAAAGGCTTTTTCTGCTAATAACGTATCAAATCCACGTATATCTATATATGAAAATAAGATTTCCACTCATTGTTAGATACTTCCAAATGCTTTCCCTCGTGCAATAAGGAGTAATCAATGCCTCTTTGCCTGACAATGAAAATTGCGTTAATTAGGTTTTCCATTAGGTAACTTTTCACAATAGTCTTTGAACGAAAGTCCTCGTAGCACTATATTCGATTTAATTTTAGGCACTCAAGGCGCTCGCTTGACATGGAAGATATATCCAATTTTCATCACAAAATGATATTAATTTAAACTCTGATTGGAGTTCTTAAAATAGAAAAAGATTAAAGGAGGATTTAGTAGCGCATAATAGAATTACTGAAAATGGCATAAAGTTATATCGGCGTTCGTTGAGATAAAATTAGCTCGAAGAAAGACATAGTTGAGTTGGTAAAATTTGTAAAAATGACTATGTCAGCATTAAATAATATTTTGAACGTGATGAATTTATTAATAAAATGATTATAATGACTAGTACGTTAAAAATATCTATTTATTATTTTTAGCCACTTTAGATAACTTTAAAGACACCAGCGATCCTCGGATCGATTCTTGGCAATGACAAAAATGGAAATGTGGAGTTAAAATTGAATAGAATTTGAATGGTTGATTTAATTGAAAATTGAATAGAAATAGCACTAAAAAGTAGAATTTGAATTGTTTGTTTGAAAAACAAGATTAGAATTAAAGATGTTTAAATTTCGAAGTCAAAAAAGAATGAAGAAAAATCATTTGTATAGAGCAAAAAGCAAATTGGATAGAATATGATATATATGAAAGTAATGTTTAGAATATATATAAAGATATTATTAAACGTATATAAAAAATATAGTATAGAATATAAAAATCAAATGTTGCAGGTAGCTATAAAATTTCCACTCTAAAATAATTTCAATTATCGAATTATTGTTGAATGATTATTTTTCACAAATTTTTAATAAAGTGAGCGAGGTCAATAAAAAGATTTATTTAAAATGTACCACAATTTTTTTAGAACAAGTAATATTCGAAATTGTTTTTTTGTTTTAAAAAAATAAGCTATAATTGAGTATCGTTTTATCAATAAATTTTATTTTTAGTTAAAAAATAAAGATTAAAGATTAAAGCGCTCAATGTAATTAAGCTGAATTCAAATTAAAATTTGCGCAGAAGTATGTAAAATTCACTAAAATATTCATGATTTTAATATTTTAATACACGTATTCTTTGTCATTTATATAAAACAAAATATTTTATTTTAATTGCAATATTTCAAATACGATAGAATTATTATTCTTGTAAAAATATGGCTCTTATAAGCAAATATTAAACGATATAAAGTAGTTTTTTTAATTAGTTGTATGTCTCACTTGATCATAAGGGCTATTTTTTAAAAAATAATAATTCAACAATAATTAATTAAAATTATTTTAAACACTTGGTATTATTAATTATAAGGTAAACGGTTGAAGTGCAATGCATTTTAGCAAATATTAACATTTTAAATTGTTTGTTGATTATAAAATTTTATTTCTTTAACATGAAAGGTATTCCAGAGTAATACAATTATATATATAAAATAATATTATAATGGCTGAATGCCAAAAGCAACATATTCAAAATTCATATTTCCACAAAAGACAGTATTAAATTTTTATTGACTCCTAAAGATTCAGGTTGATACTTTTTTATTTTAATAAATCGGTACGTATTGAAACACAAAATAAATAAAATTAACAGATTTTATGAAAACATTGTTTACAAGGAATGACAAAAAGGTATAAATATAATATTATAAATGATTTAGAAAAACTAGATGGTCAAAATTCAGATTGAAGTTTCAAAATCTGTCCAATAATCACATCTATTATTCATTCGATCTTAATTAACTCATTAAAATGAATTTGTTGCTTAATCATTTATTAGAAAAAATATATTTATATTTGTAATCAAAATCGTATTCAAGAATCTTCATGAATGATATAAAATAGCAGGTCAATATTTATTAAACGTCAAACAAAATATATTACCTTTAAGTAAAATGTGTTTCAACATGTGCAAAAATAAGTCTGATATAAACATATAAATATTTTTTTAGATATGATATTTGGATGATATAAAATATATAGGAAAATACTTAATAAAAACCTAAATGATATTCAATTAATGGGCTCTCATTAAAAAATAATTTACAAACAATATTGCTATTCTCTTATGTAAATTTTCCCCTTTCTATAAACAATTTCAAAACTCTCTTTCACCAAAAAAAACTTATATCTTATCCAACGGATTCAAACTCATTACATTTCAAAAATCTTGCAATTGGAAATATAAATTATATAAATATTATTAATAATATATTTTATATTAAATTAATATTATTATATTATTAATAAATATATTAATATCAATATTTTCTGACTGCTGTTAAATAATATTAAAAAAAATTATTATTAATACTATTAAAATATTATTATAAATAAATTAAATCAAGATCTTACTTGGGTTGAGTTCCGTTCTTCCACGCAATCGAGACTAAACCATTGGTGGCAAAATCGAGGGGTATGACTTGGGCGTACAATTCAGGGAAGCAGTACATAGAACGAATGACACCCTTTCCACAGCCCACAATTATGCCTACAGGTCCATTAAGGTTGTCAACCCAACCTTCAACTGGTTCCACATAGGACGGAGTAACTGATAATTAAAATTTAAATTTATATATATTAAAAAATTTAAAAAAATATATTAATCTAAGTTTTTTTCTTAAAATATTTGTCTTGCAAAATATGATAATTCATTCATTAATGACAATCCATACCATTTTTTGGTACAAAAATTATAATTGAATGTAAATAATCATAAGTCAAATTGACCTTTGGTAAGTGCCATTTAGGGTTTATACAAAAACCGACATTTCAGAAAACCGGTGTTCGACTTTTAATTTCACTAAAAACCGGTTTTAACCGGTTTTCGATTTTTATATTGAAAATAAATTTTTGCTCGAATATTCTGTAATTTATCCGCAAATTTAGTGTAATTGAGAGCAGTATTTAACTGAGTTTATTTATTGTTCAACTTTATAGGTAGTAAACAAAATTATTTTAATTTTAATTTAACTAAAAAATAATAGTTTATCTGGATTAAGTAACTTTGAAAATAATTATTCGTTATTCATGCATCAATTTTATTTTTAAAAACAATTAAGCTAAACTCGGATATTGTCTGTTCCGAGCAATTTTAATTTATTATTTCTAAACACTCTATTTTTTTGTTTAATAAAATATGATTTAAAAACTTAGAAACTTAGAATTGCTACTTAGACGTGTCCTTTGTTTACTCGCAATATTTCCTGAAATAGAAAATACTCTCATGCTTGCGACCAAATTATGCTTATTTGTTTTTAAAGCCTGATATAATAATTCTAAGTTTTTTATTCTTTAATTTGTGGCTTCTAGGGTTTAAAACCCTTTTTTTTAAGTTTGAGTAGAGGAAGTTACTTCTTCAAGAAGAAGTCACATTGATTTAAATTAATATATACACTGGTATGAAAATCTAAATTAATGTATACAGAACCTTTCTGGGAACCCTTGCAGACTGATAAGATGCTATCGATTCAAATGCTATTGAACCGACATGATAACAAGAATCAAAACGCTTTCATCTATCTTTTATATTTGGCGATATTTGTCATTTACTATTTATACAGTGAAAACTTTTTTCACTAAAAAAACGGTTTTCAAATTCCATAATTTTTGCCTAAAAACCGGTTTTTGAAAACCGACAAACCCTAGTGCCATTTAACTAAATTATAAATTATTTTTAGTACTTTACCTATGCTAGGCCTGGCAATGCACACAGGCATATCAGGAAAATGTTCCTTGACCAAAGATTCAGCAAGTCTTTTCGTATAAGTGTAAGTATTAGGATGTGGTGCTATTAAGGATGGTGTCATTTTATTAACAGTCTCATTTTCCATCCACTCCATACAACGCATCACATCATGAACATTGTGTGGTGAATCAACCACCTGAGAAAAAACATTAGGTAAAAACAAATCCAAAATATATTTTTTTTTACCTTTTACCTTTTCGAAAAGAACTTTCTGATCGGTGTAACAGAAGGCAGTTGACAAATGGATGAATGAGATTAAATTAGGCATTTCTTTGCAGACTTCCAGAGCGTTTCTGGTTCCAATCAAATTCATGGTGACCGAATCTTTTAGTTCGGCTTCGAGTTTTAAAGTGGCAGCAAAGTGAAATACAAGACTAGTTTCGTTGATGACCTTCTTGAGAAGATTGGGCTCGACTCCTAATCTGTCCAATGTTACATCACCTTCTACTGGGATCATCTTGGCAAGAGCTTCGGGACGCTTTTCGCGCAACCTTTTGTAGGCCTGAGTAATAATATAGATAACTAGCTGTAAGTGGAATTCTGTCTTAAGGCAATTAAGGCATCGTGCCTTAAGGCAAATTGCTGGAACTTCCCGTACCAAAAATTATTATTTTTTTAAAAACGATTAACATTTTTGAAAAAAAAAATTACTTTGAAAAAATAAGATTTTTTAAAAACTATAAATTGGACAAAAAATTACTTTTTTTTGAAAAAAAAATTTTTTTTTAAAAAATTTTTTTTAATTTTTTTTTTGTTTTTTTTTTTTGAAAAAAAATTCTTTTTTATTTTGACATATTGTGAAAGATCTGAACTTTTTTTCAAAGCAATCGTACTGCTTTAACTGCATAGGGACAAAATATAAAGCGCGTAAGCGCCGCCTCACTGTCTAACGCATAAGCATTGGTACGGAACCCATAGGAATGTTAACAAATTATATACTTATTGTTAAAATCTCTATAAAATATCTGATAATTTGATGAGCATATGCCTAATGAACATTTTTGACCGCCAAATGGCTCATTTTTTTACTTTTTCCTCCATATCTCCGAAACCGCTAGACCTACCTTCATGAAAATTTTATCGATTCTTCATCTTGTCAATACAAATGAAATGTTTTTTGAATTATTCAAATCGGACGCTCCGTTTGAGTTACCGTTTTCGGCACTTTTTGCCCCGTATCTTCGGAACGGCTAGACCTGCCTTCGCCAAAAACTAATCAGCACGTCTCCTTATCAATACGAATCGAATGTTTTTTGAATTATTCAAATCGGTTGACCCGTGTTCCCGAAATCGTCGACGAAAATTTGTATCCGCACATACATACACACACGTACATACATACACACACACATACACACACACATACACACACACATACACACACACATACACACACACACACACACACACATACATCCATTTTTTCTAAGGTATGCCAAAATGTTCAAAAACCTTTGAAACGTAAAGATATATAAAAATTTTCATTTTCGATTTTTTTGCGATTACTATAACTTGCCCTACGGGAAGTTAAAAAATTAATTAAAGGAAATAAATTATCAGTGATCAAAAATTAATTAAAATAAATAAATGATCAGCGAGGGTGTCTACTTAAATCAAAAGTTGTTGTCTTAGTCTAAAAAACATTATTTATAAAATTAGCAAATCACACAACATATAGGAAATAACTATTATCCAGATGTTGTCATAGATATTTGAGAAAAAAAACTATTATTTGATTTTTGTAGTAAAAAACATTATTTATAAAATTATCAAATTAAACACAATATAGTTATTAACTGCATAAATCCAAGTCTTGTGATAGATATTCAAGAAAGCACTAAAATTTAAATTTAGTAGTATATCATAAAATAATTTATTGTAACTTGAAATTATAAAAATTTTAAAATTTAATATAGAAGAACACAAAATATTTGAATGGCAATCAATTTAAATATCTACTTTATTACTACTAGCTAATTTTCACTACTTAAATATTTTTCAATATAGTAAATTTACAAATATTTTCAATAAAGGACATTTTTTTCCTAAAATTCAGTAAAGAAGTTTATGCCACCTTGTATATTGGTTTCATTTTTATTTGCTGTGATAGATATTTAAAAAAAGTATTAAAATTCAAATTTAGTATATTACAAAATTATTTTTAGTAACTTGTATTTATACTAATTTTAAAATTTATTGTAAAAAATACAAAATATTTGAATTGCAATCAATTTAATCAATTTTCAATACATACAGTGAATTTAAAAATATTTTCAATAAAGGGCAAGTTTTTATTAAATTTCAATAAAGGAGTTTATGCAAATTTCAATAAAGAATTTTGGATAAAAAATAACTCATTTTTAAATTAAATAAAAACTTTGAAATTGAATAAAAATATCATTTTTGATCTATACGTCACTTGTTTTCGTATGAAATAGTCAAAAATTCAGGAATAAATAAACAAATATTTTTTAATCAGATACAAACAACAATGTAATAAATTTTCATTCAGATCCTTGAAAAATTTCTCACATTTTTACACATTTTTAGTAGTTTATCATAAAATTATTTTTTTAACTTGAATTTATACTGATTTTAAAATTTATTGTAAAAAACGCAAAATATTTCAATAGCAATTAATTTAAAGAAAGTAGCTAGACTAACAATACTGTGAACTTAAAAATATTTTCAATAATGAAGCATTTTTTCCTAAATTTCAATAAAGAAGTTTATGCCACCTTGCATATTAATTTCCTCCTTGATTTTTGGTAAAATAACTCATTTTAAAATTATTGAAAACTTTAATTAAAAAAAATAAAACGTTGTATAATAAAATCATTAAAGTATTTAAAATTTCAGGAATAAATAAACATTTATTTAAACAAATATTTTTTTATCAAATCGATACAACAATGTATGTATTTTCATTCGAATCCTTGGAAAATTCCTTATTTTTTAGGGCAGTTGAAAGGATAATTTTAATTACAAGCATTTTGTATTTATATATTAATTACATTTAGATTTATTTGAAAACATGGTTATTTTACTCAAAAAACATGCAAACGTATATTAATGTTCTAGTATAAAAAATTCAAAAGTTTAGCAATAAATAAATTGTATTAGGCAAATATTTTGTGACAAAATCGAAACGACAACATGTAAAATTTTTATTCAAATCCTTGAAAAAATCCTCATTTTTTTCGTTTAGTCAAAATGGTCTATTTTATTTACATGGCTAAAATATTTGGATGAACCTGTTCAATTGCATTTTGTATTTATATATCAATTTCATTCAGATTTATTTATAGATATGAATATTTTACTTCAAAATTCTTTAAACATATAAAGTTATTTATAAAACTTTTGAAAATTTGAAAATATATATATAAATATGTTAATTATAATAAAAATATTTTGTTTAGGAGTTTTCAAGCTCCTCAAGAACCAACGCCAAGTCGGGGTCACCAATACAGTTTACTTCGTGGTCACCAATGTATCAATTTTTTTGTTAAAATAATGTATTGTATACAAATATAAAATGTATAAAAAATTAGATCGGGAACAAATAACAAGATGTCATGATTATATACTAAAAATATTATTGATTACAAATAACGAGATGTTATGATTACCTTATTTTAAAATATGGATGTATATTGAAAACGAATGTGTTTTAATTGAATAATTAATCAGCAATACGGATTAATGTTATTCATATAAAAGCAGTAATTGTGTGAACATATTAGCTATCTTGTTTTTTTTTAAATATAAACAACTTTTGTAATTCATTGAATTTTTATATGTTTTCTAAGAACATCCAAGTTTCTTCTAGACTCGAAAACATTTTTAAATGCACGTGCATGTAAGTGCATATCCACTTACAAGTATAGTTTATAATAATCACAAAAAATATTGATTTTATTTCCATATTCATTGGATGACTATGTAATACATTATAATTAAAACACATTCAATTACTCTATAATTTATATCATTTTATTATTACCGGTAATTGCCAGATTGCTTCAATCCTCTGCGAAGCGTTTTTGCCACGTTTGGGCCTGATTAGCATGTAAATTTTCTCAACATTTGGGCAACTGAAAAGTAGTTTTTCCACCAAAACTTTGCCCATAAGACCAGATGAACCAGTCACGAAAATCGTCCGGCCATTGTAGAATTTTTGGATTGGCGACTCCATATTGTCTGTAAAGATAAAGAGAATTTTTTTATAGAAACTATAAATAGACCAAAATAAATATTTTTTCAAAAAATCATGTTTATTCATTATTAAATCTTTTTTGAATCATTTTAACCATTTTTATTATAATTAACTAAATTCCAGATTTTGAAAAAATTATCATTAATTAATAATACAACTCATAGACAAACCAGAAAAAATTCACTGTATTTTTCCTAAATTTTTCAAAAAAAGATATTATACATTAACAACTATCTCAAAAAATATACCAACTCATTTGTGAATCACAACTTACTAGTAAATTAATTTACTATTTTATTAGAAAGTTGTTAAAACGTCATTATAACTTATTAAAATTTTTATATTTGATTATAAATTAAGAAAATAAGTTACAAAGTCAAAAATTATAGTTTTTCAACAACTATTAAAACCAATATATTTAAAAGTCACAAATTTCTAAATACTAAACAAACAGTATTTAATTTACATATTTAAATGATATTAGATTAATATTGGTCAATAAATTGGTGAAATGGTTGGGGCAATTTCTTTTTATTTAGTGTCAAAAAACAATATTTCAATTATTTGATGATGATTACGATTAAATTAATACAAAAATTAAAATCATTACAAAAATGTTCTTAAGATCCAGAAACTTCTAAAAAAAAAGATTATTACACCTCATCAAAAACGATATAATAATTTCTGTATTTTTATAATAAAATTATTCAGACAAAATATGCACTTTAAAGTTATAATATATATTTCAAATATTTTATAAATATCAAAAATTATTAAATGCTGACAAACAAAATTCGATGATTATATTTAGATTCATTTAAGTTCAATATTGCTTAATAAATTGCGAGTATTTTTCATTTCACAAGTATAATTTTAGCAAATTTTCAACGTATTTTTACTTTAATTTTCTTATAGATTTTAGCTGATCTATTAAAAAATACTTATGGTCTATCAAATAATAAGTTGTCTATTAAATCGGACTAACTTTGTCAGATTATATTAGAATAATTTCCCTACACAATATTGGGAAACTGGCAAAATAATTTAATCCAACAATATTGAGTCAATGTTAGCCCATAGTCACTTGTTAACTGATAAACTAATTCTGCAGTTAGTAAATAACTGTCAAATGATATTGAACAATATTATAAAGTGACATGTATATATATCAAATAATACTAACAATGATAGATGATGTAAATGGCAAATCATATTGGTATTTGGAAATCATCGTAAAATGATTTATCTATATATATATATATATATATATATATATATATATATATATATATATATATATATTAGGGTGGTCCTTAAAATGGTCATTTTCGAATTTTCTTGCTCCCAGGGGCTCAAATGGTTCCAAATTGATAAAAAACAATTTTCTTAAAGTTTTAGCTCTTAATATTATTGTTTAGATAGAGCGCAATTCAATCAAAGTTTTGTATGGAAATAGAATGGAAAAATTTTTGAAAATTTTCAACCTCTTACCACGAACCTCTATTTTGTAAGAATTATTTACAAGATTTACTAGTAATTATATTTTTTTTCATAAACCACACGTCTGATCACTGTGTTAGGTAAATCCTCGAAAAGGTTTAGGGATATTTTGATTTAAGAAAATTGATAGGGGTTGGCCGCCCTGAAGACTTTTTTAACATTTTTTTTCTAATTTCTTTAAAATGCGTATATATAAAAACACATTCCCCAAAATTTTTAACCTCTTATCGCAAAACCCTATTTTGTAAGGATTATTATAGTAATTATATCTTTTTAAATTAATTGGTAATTTGTAGACTAACAGACTGGTAGACAGGTAAACAGCTAAACAGCTAAATTGATAGACTGATAAACAGGTTGACAGGTATACTGGAGGATAAGTAAATTTTTGAACAGGTAAATTGGTAGATAAGTAGATTGGTAAATAGGTAAAAAAGTAGATAGATACATACGTAGATAGATAAAATTGGTAGATAGGTAAAAGGGTTGATAGATACATACGTAGATAAATGAACTGGTACACAAATAAATTGATATATAGATAAGATTGGTAGATAGGTGAAAAGGTAAATAGATAGATACATACGTAGATATACGAGTATAAACTGGTAGATAGGTAAATTGGTAGATAGGTAAAGTGGTGGCCAGGAAAATTCGAGGATATATAAAATGGCAAGACAACTTGTAGATTGACTAATATGTAGACAGATAAACAGGTTGACAGGTAAATTGGTAGACAGATAAAATGCTGGATTGATAAACAGTTTGTTAGGTAAATTGGTAGACAGGTAAATTGATAGATCGGTGAATTGTAAGATATATAAATTGATAAGCAGGTAAATTGATGGATAGGTAAATGGTATGGAACAGGTAAAATAGATGGACAGCTAAGTTGGTGAACAGTTAAATTGATAGACTGATAAACAGGTTGACAGGTAAACTGGAGGATAAGTAAATTGTTGAACAGGTAAATTGGTAGATAAGTAAATTGGTAGATAGGTAAAAAAGTAGATAGATACATACGTAGATAGATAAAATTGGTAGATAGGTAAAAAGGTAGTTAGATACATACGTAGATAAATAAACTGGTAGACAGGTAAATTGGTAGATAGATAAGATTGGTAGATAGGTAAAAAGGTATCTAGATACATACGTAGACAAATGAACAGATGGATAGGTAAATTGGTAGATAGGTAAACTGGTGCACAGGTAAATTCGAGGATATATGAATTGGTAGACAGGAGAACTGGTAGATAGACGAATATGTAGACAGATAAACAGGTTGACAGGTTAATTGGTAGACAGGTAAAATGCTGGATTAATAAACAGGTTGTTGGGTAATTTGGTAGACAGGTAAATTGATAGATATGTAAATCGATAGATATGTAAATTGTTGAACAAGTAAATTGATAGATAGGTAAAAAGGTAGATAGATACATACGTAGATGAATGAACTGGTAGACAGGTGAACTGGTGGATAGATAAGATTGGTAGATAGGTAAAAAGGTAGATAGATACAAACGTAGATAAATGAACTGGTAGACAGTTAAATTGGTAGATAGGTAAACTGGTGCACAGGTAAATTCGAGGATATATGAAAAGGTAAACAGGAGAACTGGTAGATAGACGAATATGCAGACAGATAAACAGATTGTTAGGTAAATTGGTAGACAGGTGAATTTATAGACAGGTAAATTGATAGATATGCAAATTGATAGACAGGTAAATTGATAGATATGTAAATTGTTGAAAAAGTAAATTGGTGGAGAGCTAAGTTGGTGAACAGCTAAATTGATAGACTGCTAAATAGGTTGACGGGTATATTTGTGGATAGGTGTACTGGTGGACAGGTAAATGGGTGGACAGGTAAATTGGTGAACTGGTAAATTGGTTAAGTGGTAAACTGGTATGCAGGTAAACTGGGGTAGACACGTAGAGAGATAGATATATAGATTGTCATAAATACTGGGAGACTAGATGTAACAAAGTTCTATTAATGTTAATAAATTTTCAGAATTAAAATAATTTTTATTAAATAAATAAAATGTTTAAAGTACTTGATACAAGTGTAAAAATTTTATTTCTAAAATAAAAAATTATATATAAGGTGGCTTCTGATAAATTAAAATCAATAGTTACTAGTTAACAAAATGATTCAATTTTAGTAAAAAAAATACTTAGTCGATTTACAAGCACAAATTTTCATTGTGCATAAAATTTTATAAATTTCGATAATTATCTTAAATTCAAAAAAAAATATTAAAAATGTTATTTTGATAAATTAAATTCAATAAATAATAGTTCCAGTAACAGTAAAAAATTGCTTAACCATAAATTTTAATTTAAAACCATAAATTTCCAATGTGCGGAAATCATCAACTGGTTAAACATCACGAACGTGTACGCATATGTAATTTGTTTATAATTACAATAAATAAATAATAAACAGATCTCAGCTGTCATTTATCATGGAAATTTTTCCAATAATTCATTTACAAGTTATGTATATCGTGTATCGTAATCCGGCATATCGTGTTGCATTAAAACTTTCACTGGAAAGACCAGTACATGTCTGTTCAACACGTGACTTTGATTAAGTAATGACGATTACGGCCAATTAAATCCAAGTAGAACATTTTAAGATACAAAAAATAAAGAAAATAAAACAAAGTTCGATACAAAATGTAGACAGCCTGAAGCAGATGGAAATTTTTTACCGAAAAAAGCGATGCGTTTATAACGACCACTCTTGTGAAATGAGAAACAAGTTGAGCAATTTAAGGAGGTAATTATGGAATTGTTTTTGTTTATATTTTGAGATAATAAATGTTTACATGTCATAACCTTTTTAAGCAATGGAGGAAGTACATATGTTAGTGATTAGAAAAGGTGACAAAGGTATCATCAGAAATTCAGGCAGAGTTGGAAGTAAAATGACTAAACAGCTTGAGTAAAGATCATAGTCTAGATAGAAAGTAGTTTAATCAAAATCATGGTAAAAGATTACAAAAATATTTTAATTCATTCTACAATTTTTTTTCTTATTAATATCATCATCCCTATGAATAACTGGACTTAGTTTTTTAAAAACAAATGATTATTGTCTTGCGTAGAAAAATGTAAATGGTAAATTCGAGATGTAAATGGTAAATGGTAAACAGGAGACCTGGTAGATAGACAAATATGTAGACAGATAAACAGGTTAATTGGTGGACAGGTAAATTGGTAGGCAGGTAAAATGCTGGATTGTTAAACTGGTTGTTCGGTAAATTGGTAGACATGTAAAATGATAGACATGTAAAATGATAGATAGGTAAATTGTTGAATAGGTAAATTGTTGAATAGGTAAATTGATGGACAGGCAAATTGATAGACAAGTAAATTGGTAGACAGGTAAGTTGATAGACAGGTAAATTGATAGACAGGTAAAATGATAGACAGGTAAATTGATAGACAGCTAAATTGATAGACAGGTAAATT